CAGTCCACCGCGAACACGCGCGACAGCGACGCCCGATCGTGGGATAACAGTGCGCTGGCATAGCAGAGCGCCGACATCGCACAGAAACAGAGGGCCGGCATAGTAACGCCGACGTCACATACTAGCAGAGCGCCGACGCCGCCTGGTAGCAGGGCACCGACGTCGCACAGAAGCAGAGCGCCGGCGTCGCACAGCGACAGAGCGGCGATACAGCAGCGCCGATAGAATAGCACCGTTAGGAATTTACGTTTATGTTTGTAATGTTAAGAATTTCCACGTGATAGAGAATAAGCAGCAATTAAATAAAGTACTATTTGCAAAGGCCCCACAATATAAATTTATTGTAACGGACCCTGGTCACGGCGAGTATACCCCAGCATAGAAAACAGAAGCATCGGGGCCTTAATAGGAAAACGCTTCGTTACAATTGGCGCCCGAGCAGGGACACTGCAAATAGTACAATACGAGGAGAACATTTCGAAGCCAATAATTAAACCAGCCATGACAGAACCAGTGAGCATAGCGTGGCTGGACAGCGTATCCAAGGAACAGTTGGTGTCCATCACACAATAACTGGGCATCGAACACACAGGCACCACTCGAGAGATAAGGAAACGGCGGCATGGGCCGCCAAAGCACTCGTCGACCCGGAACTTCACGCAAAGTTTCTCGCGATGGAAGCAGCATACAACGAACAGGAGGCCCACTGGAGAAACGAAAGCGAACCAAAGACACCGTTAACCGTGGATCAAGGCGAAAGAACCGCTAATGTGCCCGTTAGGCCGCCAACGCAGAGCCATTCCCATATCCACCACCAAGTCTACAACCGCCATCGCAACACCCGCCAACGACATCCATCGCACCAAACGCTGACGTGCTAAACAACGGCAACCATGTGCCGACCGTTACCTTTGCGCCCATCATCGACCAGGTACGCAAGTGGTTGGTGAAGTACGATGGAGGACGCGACCCGTTGGCGTTTGCAGAGCGATTGGAGGAGTTAGCCGACGTCTACGCATTAAACGTAGACCTGTTACCAAAGACGATGCCTGAATTGCTAAGCGGCACCGCCCTCCAGTGGTACCGCAACAACAACGAACACTGGAGCACCTGGCACTCATTCAAACGTGATTTCCTGAACTTTTTTCTGCCGGCCCAGTATTTTGAGCGTTTGGAAGACGACATCAGGCAACGGAGGCAGCGCCCGCGAGAAAAATTTAAGGACTACGTGATCGCGATCCAGAACCTGATGCGACGTGCAGCCTACAGCAACGAACAACGGTTGGAGAGAATCTTCCGCAATAGTCACGCCGATTACTTACTGTACATTAAACGGCGGGATTTTAACACCTTGCCGGAGCTCCTAGCGCTCGCGGAAGAGTACGAAGGCATACAAGAAAGTCGTCGGCGGGCCCCAGAAACCGCCCGACGAGAAATAGTGAGGCATGTTGGTGACGACACCATTATGTCACCACCCCAACCGAGACAGGCATTTCAGCAACGACCGCCACCACGCATGGATCAGCATCATCGAGAAGCCCCCGAGTACAGCGCCGGACAACCAATAATTTTGAGCCAGGAACGCGGCCGCCTCTACGCCCTAATCTCGTTGGGTGGAGCGCCCGCGGAAGCCGTCATCGACACAGGAGCCTCGAGAAGCTTCGTGTCCGCCAGCGTGGCGGAGCAATTGGTTAGCTTGGGGAGAGGCAAAAAGATAACTGTGGCCATAGGAATCCTTATGGCCGATGGTACCAGGAACCAAATATCCGAGGCCGTGAGGACCGTAATCCGCCTCGGGCAAACGATCCACAACGCCGTTCTGTATGTCATGCCTGGAGCAATTGACGACATCATTTTGGGCCTAGACACATTAGGGGGAATGGGAGCTACGGTGTCCTGCGGCGGGCACCGCGTCGTATTGACGGAACCAGCTATACAACCCACGTCGGCGACACCCAGCGAGCCAACACCAAGCACCGAGAACCCCGAACCACCCGCCATGACGAACCATGGCCCACCAAGGAGCAGAAAAAGGAGGCGCCATACAAGAGGCGACGGTCCGCAAGGGAGAATATCAATAGAATTGAACACGAGGATCTCAACCACGAAGATGAGGCAGCCCGCATACGCGACTTTCTAGCCGAAGAACTGCAAAAATTCGAGACTATTAGCGGAGTAGCCACCGTGGGAGAGCACCGGATCATCATGACTGATGAACGTCCCATCAAACAGCGGTACTTCCCGCGCAACCCTGCGATGCAATCTGTAATCGACACGGAAATCGATGAGCTACTCAAGAAAGGATGTATTGAGCCGTCTCGCAGTCCGCACAGTGCACCGATCGTACTAGCCCGGAAGAAGAACGGCAAGTGGCGCTTATGCGTGGACTACCGGCAGCTCAATGCCCGGTCAGTACCGGACGCATACCCCTTGCCGAGGATACAGCACATACTGGACAAACTGCGCCAGGCAAAGTACATAAGTAGTTTAGACCTCAAGAACGGGTACTGGCAGATACCCCTGGAGCCCAAGAGCCGCCCGTACACAGCCTTCACCGTACCGGGACGCGGCCTGTTTCAGTGGCGCGTCATGCCGTTCGGCCTACATTCCGCCCCCGCCACATTCCAGAGAGCGCTAGACCAAGTCATCGGCCCGGAAATGGAGCCCTACGCGTTTGCCTACCTCGACGACATAATCGTCATAGGCTCCACCTTCGACGAACACGTGGAACACTTGCGGGCGGTACTCCGACGACTACAGCGGGCCATCGTGTGCATTAACTCCGAGAAGTGCGACTTTTTTAAAAGGGAGCTCCGGTACTTGGGCCACGTCATTAGTGACAAGGGCATACACACCGACCCCGACAAAGTTGCCGCCATCAAGGAACTAAAACCACCGACCAACGTGAAGGAGGTACGCCGATACCTCGGGATAGCTTCCTGGTATCGCCGGTTCGTACCCGACTTCGCTGCGCTAAGCCAACCACTCACCGCCCTCCTGAAGAAAGGCAAACACTGGCGCCATACTGGGGAACTGAGCAACAGGAAGCGTTCGACGTGATAAAAAGAAAACTCACCGAGGCCCCCATCCTCGCGTGCCCAGACTTCAGCAAGAAATTTACCCTGCAGACGGACGCGAGTAATTTCGGCCTAGGGGCAGTACTCACACAGGAGTTGGAAGGCGGCGAACGAGTAATCGCATACGCAAGTCGGAAACTTAATAAGGCAGAGATCAATTATTCGGCCACGGAAAATGAATGTTTAGCTATAGTCTGGGGAATACGCAAAATGAGGCCCTATCTAGAAGGATACCGATTCAACGTCATAACCGACCACATGTCACTAAAATGGTTAAATTCGATCGAAAGCCCCTCAGGTCGCATAGCGCGATGGGCCCTGGAGTTGCAACAACACGCCTTCGACATCGAGTACCGCAAAGGAAAACTCGACAGCCACTAGAGACGCTACTACGAACAACAGTGGCGGAACCACGATGCAAGTGGTGGCACAGACGGGTCGAAGAAATGCGTATCAACCCGGAAAAATACGCCGATTACATGATACAGGAGGGGCAGCTCTACCGTCATATCCCGTGTCGATCCCAGGACGAGGAAGCAGTCCCCTGGAAACTGTGTGTGCCCAGGGCCCTCCGTCGACGAGTACTGAGGGAAAACCACGACATACCAAGCGCGGGGCATATGGGTATTCGCCGAACAGTAGCACGGATTGCCAATCGGTATTATTGGCCAGGAATGTTTCGCGACATCAGCCGGTACATCCGTCAATGTGAGTCCTGCCAGAAGTACAAGGAGCCACAACACAAACCAGCCGGCAAGATGCTCTCGCAGGTCGCTCAAGAACCTTTCGCCACGGTGTGTGCCGATTTCATCGGACCCCTACCACGGTCCACGCATGGCAACACCATGGTACTTGTGTTTTTCGACAGATTTAGCAAGTGGGTCGAGTTGGTCCCCATGAGACAGGCCACAGCGGAAGGACTTCGCCGCGCGTTTAGGGAGCGTATCCTCGCCCGATTTGGTATACCCAAAGTCTTCATCTCGGACAATGGTGTACAATTTACTAGCACGCTCTGGCAGCGCTACCTCCAGGAGGTGGGGGTGCGCCAACAATTTACGGCCCCGTATACACCCCAAGAAAACCCGACGGAGCGCGCCAACCGCACTGTAAAGCGAATTATCGCACAGCTTACGAAGACACAACATAGGCGGTGGGATGACCTCCTCCCGGAAATCACACTCGCCGTAAATGCGAGCGTCACAGTCTCCACAGGATACAGCCCAGCGTTCCTGGTGCAAGGACGAGAACCACGACTACCAGGAGCACTCTTCGACGAAATAAATATCGGGACTGGCGAAATAGCCCCGACGGCCGAGGAAAAGTCCACAAGGATGCAGGAAGCATTCAGGATCGTCAGACAAAATATGGAACGTGCCACGACCGACCAAGCGCGCCATTATAACCTGCGTCGCCGGGAGTGGAACCCAAAAGTCGGCGAGCTGGTCCTCACCAAAGAACGTCATCTATCTAAGGCAGCAGAGGGGTTTGCGGCAAAACTAGCCCCTAAATATGCCGGTCCCTACCAGATACTCCGATACGTTTCCCCGGTAATCGTGGAGCTACGGAAGACCGACGACGGAAGGACAAGAACGGCGAACCTGGCCGACCTGAAGGCGTACAAGACGGCCGAATCACAACAACTTAGCAGCACGGAAGAGGAGGAAAAAACCATAAAAGAAATTAAATTAAATTTCTAACCCCAACGGAAAAAAAAGAGGGAAGGGAATTTAAAATAAAATAAATAAAGTTAGCAAGACCGTCGCATCAGTGGAGACCGTCATTCGATCGTCAACTAGCGGACCAACCACACGTGAATAAACGGAAGAATTTTGTAAAAAGGTGAAAATCAATCAACCATGAACATGGAAGGATTAGACAAAATGGAAAAGAGTGTGAAGCGCTTGCGTGAACGCATAGCCGAGGAAAATGCGAAGCGACCGCGGACCCAGATGCCTGGCGTGGGGCCGACCATAGGCCCACGGGATGCTGCCCGCGCACGCGCCGAAGCCGCCGACGCCGCCGCGATGTACGCGGCACTCACGCACGCTACTGGAGAGACGCGCAACCAGCAGCAAGCAATGGCGGCCCAGCTAGCCGCTAGGCGGACCGCCGTCGCACGCGCTGCCAGCAGACATGCCGTCACCATCCACGCGGAAACGACCCGCGCTCTGTCAGTGCACGCGATCGCCGCTAACGCAGCCGCAAGGTACGCGACCACAGCCAGCATGACGGCGGGCACCCACGCTGAAAATGCCGACACCGCACAGGCTACAACAGCACGCGCCGTCACAGCCCAAGCAACTGCACGACAGACCCTCGCCGCGCGCACGGCCGCCGTACACGCGACAGCGGCGTTCACCAACGCAGCGCGCGCCGCCCACGAAATCACCGGGCGCACCCTAGCCTCTTCCCCATCCTTCAGTCCTTCGGGGGACGACAGGTACAACACCGCCGGGACAGCCGCCTTCTCGGTGAGGAGGGTAGCTTCAGATCACGACACTAGACGCGGGAGCGGAATGGACACGGGCAAGACTGCGTCTACTGGTAGCCCGCCCAACGAAAGTACAACAAGCGACAGCGCATCGCACATCACCTCATCGGACACCAGCACGACCACCGATAGCCCAACAGGCGAGAGTCCCGCCAGCGACAGACCGGCTAACCAGGACACCGACATGGCGTTGGCCGAACACCTTGAAATCGAGCTATCCTCCTACGAGGAACAACCACCGCAGGCGTCGACGGGCCCGCGAGCAATTTTCCCGCCAGGACCCGGCGGAATAGCGATGTATGAGGCCGACCTGCGGACACTGACAGGACCCTATTGGGTGACAGACACTGTCATCGATGCCTGGGCAAAGGGCCTGGAAGCCACGCTCAACATACGAGGTACCGTACTCAGCCCATTCGTTGTCTGGCAATTGAGCAAACCCGACAGGGGAGAGAATTATCAGCGCATCCACCGGTGGCTACGCCACACCGACCTTTTCGGCCAACGGGTTGTCCTCGCGCCACACAATGTCTCGAACCATTGGTACCTGCTCGCTCTCGCCAACCAGGAGATGACCCACCACATAACAGATAGCGAGTGTTGGCACGACATCAACATTTGTGTGGCCGACTCCAGGAAAGTAGGAAGGGTGACACACGCGGTAGAGGAATGGCGAGAGTTTCTCCGGTGGGAATACCAGCAGCGACATCAGCGGGAGGCCCCCCACATACGGGAGGTACATCTGGAGGTACCACAGCTGACCAACGATAACGACTGCGGAATATACGTGGTGGAAACTATCGAGAGGGTGCTGAGATACGTCGGACGCGGAGAAGGAGGGCCGGGGTGTATATCAGGCCCGTTCACGGCGACCATGGCGGCGGAAAAACGCGCGCACATGCTGAGGGTATTCCAGCAACCACCGGAGGCAGGAACACCACCGCCACCACCACGACCCACGGAGCCTCCACAGGCAACAACACCACTACCCTCACCGCCACACACACCAGTACCACCAGAGGTAGCACCACTTTCAGCGTCACCAACCCGAACACCAGCACCGACTGAAGCAGTATCACAACCACAATGTTCG